CTCGTTAGTGTCGCGAACTGTGAATTCACATCGAAGGCAAGCAGTGGCGTAGTTGATACTTGTCACAACAGTACTACTTTCTATTTCATTATTTTTAACATTTGCAATTTTCAAAAATAGTTCGGCGGAAATGAGAGCAGCCCTACATTCTTTAACGTCCTTGGTTACATACGATAAACAAATCCAAAAGGAAAAATTGGATTCATCATGAAATAATAATTACAAAAAAATTACTATTTCAAGTAAAGGTTTGCAAAAACTACTCACATTTTCGAAAACGTTTACTTGACCATTAATGTGTAATGACAGAACAAATTTTATACATGGAAATAACAGCTGTAATCTTTGTCAACATGATTTTATTTTGATAGACTTCTTTCAAAGCTTTGCTGTTATCATCATTAAAAAGAAATGAAAATATAAGGATATTACATTTTTTTGTCTTACTACATCCTATTAGATTTTATAAATCTGTCTTTGAACAAAAAAGTTGTAATAAAATTCTTTCTCTTCAATATTGTAGTTGTAGAAAGACGACGAAAAAAATCTGAAATTTTCAAAAATTAAGAAAATTTAATGAAAATTAATTCTGTGCCATTTTAAGCGTCTTCCCAATTCGAGGTCAAAGTTTAATAAAAATGTTATGCTATTTGTAAAAAAATTGAAAATGTCGAGGCTTCATGTAAAGTACACCCAAAAATGAAAATATCTGTTTTAAGGCCGGAGGGCCTCAAGATATATTTACTTAAGTCAATATCACTGTAAAGTCGTGGTGCCATGTTTCATCATATAACCACGGCATTTCAATTGTTCATTAAAACCACGAAAATTCATTGCCACTGAAATATAGCCTAAAATACAAAAGTTTTTCTCTTAATTTATAAAATGTCACTTATAACCTCCTGGTTTTCCCTCATTCAATTTAGGTTCGTGATGGAGTTAACTTAATAATGTACATCAAATTGAAATGTTCCGAAACATTTCTCGAAAAATAAATTTCTACATCCATATGCTCGGTCTTAAATCACAAGTGACGCCTATATCCCCCGTGGAATTCCCTGAAGGACAGAATTTGTGAAAGGAAACTGTCATTGGCGAACGATGCCCCGATTTAACATTCAAGAGTCGTAAATATTTTGTGCACTTTCGTAAAGCCATTTCCATCGATTTTTCGCGTGGGCGGAGGGTTTCTCGTCCGAGGAAAGGGTTCAAGTCCGTGTCCTCAACGCCCTCCAGACCAACACGGCTCAAGGCATCAAATGATGTTCCTACAGTGCCTCTACCCAGGAGGTTCTAGGGTTCCACTCTCGACGACGGCAAGACTTTCGAGGTAGAGCTCAGCCGCTGACTGGAGGAGAATTCTAACACTCAAATTTTCGCAAAACTCTTTATGACCTTATTTCAAAATCTATACTTGGAGAACAGATTTTATTAAGGGAACAAATATATATCTTCAAAATTGTAGGAAAGAGCAGACGATTTATACAAAAATTGATATTTCCCAATCCGTCTGGCCGATGTTACGGCCCCTTGAATTTGAAATGTGTATTTTCATTTTTGGGGGTACCTTGCATGAAGCGTCAATGACATTTTCAAGTTTTGCTCAAAAATGAATTTGTGGATACTTCGTTATCGGATAGCTTCATTGACGCTTGAAAGAAGTCATGGGTGCAGATCTCTTTTTCGTGGAAATGCTGAATTTTCGAAAATCATAACAAACAAATGTTAATATTTCATTATAAATATTCTTTAATATTCATCAAAAATATAATCATTAACAAAAAATAAGCTTTCAAAACATATCGGCCTCACGTACAACAATATTGAAGATGGAGATGTTTTACTTCATTAAATCTGCCTGTTAAAAACAGGACTTACGAGTACAAGAATAAATAATTTTTCGAAAATATGAGTATGTTTTCGGGTGAAATTATTGGTGTAGTTTTGCGTCAAATACAGGTAATTGGTAAAGAAATATTTGCTCAAAAAGTCTCGAAATTTTGTCTTCAAATTTTCTTCTGGAGGGATTTACGCCAATAAACAGTGTGAAAATTCGTTATTCCCTCTGTGTTTTCGAAAATTGCAAAAAGTTAACTTTGAGGATAAACAACATTGAAGGTAGAGATTCAAAAAATCAGATCTTAAAAAAAGTTTATGTACATTTTTTTAAACAGTTTAAAGTACTTTTCCCTTAATTTTTGATTGAAGTTAATGAAATTTAAAAAAATAGATTCTCAATAATCGCTCCAAATGTAGTCTCCTTTTTTCTGCTAATACATCAAGGGACGCTTAAAATAATAGTGCATGTCTCATATTAGTTGAATCCTCTGAATTTTCGAAAATTGTAAATATAGAAATAATGCGATAAAGTATGTTGTTATGCCACCACTAGTTTATAATGAAATTTGTTCTTAAACATTAATTTTTTTCACACGTAATGAAGACGTTTTTAAAACATGAGAATGTTATGAATAATTTTGAGTGACTATTACAAATGATACGAGAAAGTACGTGCTGTTGTAGTGCCACTAGATAGTGATTAAAATTAATCAAATACTGTATTATGTTATCTTCTCCTTCGTAATAGCGCTCCTGGGACGAAAAGTGCACCGACCAGGCTACTCCGACTACAGCCGAGCATGAGCGACTGTTCCGATTCTAGTCAGAGACCCTCGTATATACTCAGATATATACTCTGTGGCACTTTAAGGTCACGAACTGGAAGAAGGGGGAACATTGTCATCCAATCGGGTGCTCCAATACCAAAAATTTAAGTCCCTCTCTCCGTCCACTTCAAGACCTTGAAGTGCCGCTATGTTTGAATCGGAGTACGGATTTCACAGAGTAAAGGAGCGCGCAAACAAGCCAGCGAGACGAATCGCAATAGGACGCGCGTTGCCCTGCACGCTCTAATGCGGAGGCTGCCAATTGGCTCCACGAGCGGCGTCCGCTCGCCGCCGCCCCAAAGGGCCGCCAGCCCTGGCTCCGGCAGAGTCGCTGCGCTGCCTACCACCAGCAGGTCCTAGAGTTACTCCCGACGGTGGCACGCTCCACCTAGGTTGAATTCAGTGGCTGTCTGAAGGAGAATTCTAGTGGCTGGCTGCTCTGTTCGGTAGGGATTCCCCCCCCCACACACACACACACAAAGATTTTTCGTTTATATCACCTTAAAGGCCCAGAGATTAGCAATTTGACACATTCTTTATAACGAGTACGTGGACCGCAATATTACAATTGAAGGCTTGAAATAAAAAAGGATGTAAGTGCCATTTTCATACTTTCGAGAAAAATGATTTTATATTTACATTAAACCTGCTGGCACATACAACTCCTGCCATTTATATTCATCCCGTAACACTATTAAGAAATGCGTTTTGACATTGGTTCTTATTTAGGTTATAAGACGTGGTTCATTGCTCATTGTTCTGATAAAATACATATATTTAACAGAGGCGTTACTTCCATTCTTTTTTATTGCAAGTCTTCAATTCTTCTGCTAGCGATCTGCTGGAAGGGGCTCGCGTGTTGGAAATGCGCCCAGAGCTGTCGAGCGGGCGGGGGCAACGGCCTGGCGGAGCGGGCGCGGGGCGGGCGCGGGGCGCGGGGCGCGCGTGCAGCCGGCGAGGCGAGACCTCCCTCCCCCACCCACCCCCGCACCAAGGCGCTTGGCTGCCCACGCAAATCAGCCCGCTTGTGCACTCGCACAGCGCACCTGCCACAGAACCTGCAGTAACACCCATCTGCATCGGGACTTCAGGGACTCCAACCCTTTCGCTTTTACTTTCTCGCTAACGCTTCCGCAATAGAGAGAAGGTTATGTAAGGGCCAATTTTCTGAAGAAAAAATTTGTTACAAAGCCCTGGAACAAAATAGTGGATAAATCCAGATGGTAAATTTAGGGGGGAAATCCTCTAACACGTATTGTAGCCAGAATCCATGTTTTGTGGCTCCTTCATTCAGAAAAATCTAAACGTCTGTCTGTCCGTTCATTGTTTGTTTTTGTTTTTGTTTTGAAAATAGAAAAAAAAAATTTCGGTGTCTTCCTATCACTACAATTACGAAGTTAAGAGATTTCCCCCTTAAAAAATAGATTTTTAAATAAGGTCATGAAATTTTTTTTAGGAAATTTGAGTACTTTTCACGCAAATAGGTAAGAAAGTACGTGTTGCTTTGGCACCACTAGTTTTACTTAGTTGCGCCTTCGACGCACCGCACGTCCGAGCCCTTGCTGGGCGTTGAGAACTTGCCACGGAGGAATCCTCGGTTACTATCTCTGCTAAGTGTCCTCGCGTCGCAGCCAAATGTCCATTCGACGAGGGGCGCGGAGCCGTTAGATCCCGAGGCTCCTAGACGGTTATCTGACCAGGCACTCGTGAAGTCTCGATTTCGCTTCAACTCCGTGTCTCCAATTCGGCTTTGGCGATGCCGTAAAACGACTGCTCGTTTGCTCCATCGACTCCCTTTCGATTTTCTTTATAATATACAGAATACATTCGTAGTGGTTAGGCGGAAGATTAGCCTGGGCCGTATAATAATTATGATTGCACATAAATGTCTCAAGAGATTCATTGTGTAGACCAATATTTTGGTAATAATGTAAGTTTTCGATCATCCAAAACACTTCCTCTAAGTAGCTACAGTTCTAATATTGATCGTTGGGCAATGGTTCCAAAAGTTGTGCGTTTTTTAATCTCGCCATACCATTCCTTCCTGCGCATTGGAGTGAGTATTTGCTTCTGCGAAGAATACATAGTTTATACAAGAATACATTTGAATACATAGTTATACTTCGTTGAGTAGTGTAAACGCTTTAAGCCGTTGTGTAGCTGCGTTCTCGGATGCTCTCGGGCATGCGAACACTAGACGCGCCTCTGGGGCGTTCTAGTAACAAACGGACGCGATTTCTCCTCATTCCTTCCCCTATCCTCGCTCCGTACTTTAACACATTGCGTTGCACTAGCACCACGTCGGGGGCTGAGCGTTCGCGCGTCTGTCCGCAGCGCGAGTGCATCTCCATCCACGTGGGCCAGGCGGGCGTGCAGATCGGCAACGCGTGCTGGGAGCTCTACTGCCTGGAGCATGGCATCCAGCCCGACGGGCAGATGCCGTCCGACAAGACGCTGGGCGGCGGCGACGACTCCTTCAACACCTTCTTCAGCGAGACGGGCGCCGGCAAGCACGTGCCGCGCGCCGTCTTCGTCGACCTCGAGCCCACCGTCGTAGGTGAGACAGCGCTGCGAGGGCGGCTGCACTCGTCGGCATTCCTTGCCTTCTTCGACCGCCACCAGGCGGATGCCGGCGCGGCTCCCTCGCCAACTACCCCTTACTAACACGCACTTGCACTAACACGCACTACATATGCCGGGAGACCGGCTGGGGCGGAGCGCTCGGTGCTCCTACAAAAAAATCATGCACTGCACTTAAGAGACTAACGACCTCAGCAGCTGACGCGCCAGGAACACTCAACAAATCAACCAATGTAGGGTGAATGGCATACCCCAGAATACATGGAAATGAAATATATATATATATATATATATATATATATATATATATATATAGAGAGAGAGAGAGAGAGAGAGAGAGAGAGAGAGAGAGGGATTGAACTTGTCAGTAATACTGAAGTGTACAGTCTTTCGCAACATAATAAGGCATTTCATTATGTTTTATGATTAAGGCTACGTAACGTCTCTCTCGAAATTTAAACCAGCTGATTTGGCTCAGACAGAATTCCCGCTGTCTCCAGCGCTACCTGGTTTTTGAGACCTACTACATAGATAGATCGAATTCAGACGAATGCTGGAGCAGTACCCTAACGAACGGGCCATGTAACGCAGGCGATCTTTCCGTATTCATCCTCTTCCCTTAAGTTGCACACATACATATACTTACATACACGACTCTACCTCACACATTGGGGACTCAAAGCAGAGGGAACGCGAGTGATCTTTCTCTTCCCAATATTGTCCTATCACTTCGCTACACACACTACAAGAATTGCCCTGATATTTATGTTGTAAAATATGCACTTGCATGAATTTACAATATCAATAAACAAACTGGGTTCTTAAAACCTATCTAATCACTGTGAACGAATTAACGAAAATTTAATATTCGAACCTAAAGAAACTCGTTATCTTTGCTTCGCTATCACTTGTACTTCTCCCCTTCGCGAAACAGTTTTTCTGTTCACTGACAAAAAATAAATCGAATTTAATCGAATCAAATCACACTGAAGTTTACTTGCGCCAGACCAAGATCTTGACACAATCAAACTACAAAATGAACATATGACGACGGATAAGCGTTTATTCTTTTAATTTCATGATTTTGCCACTGATTAACATATTCGTCCATAAATTTAATTAGTTTGAAACTTGAGAGTATGACAGAAAAACAACATCAGAATTTGAATTTGAAAAATATGAAGGTTTAGATGAGTATATATTATATAGAGATATGACACACCACTACACCACTTAGTATGACAAGAGATATAGACTCACAAACGTTTCTCAGAAACAGGAATGTTAAATCATAGTTTCGTGTGTAGCGTGAGACCGAAACCTTTCCGATAAACCGCAGAGAACCATGAACCGCGCTCACTCGGTGCGCTCACTCGGTCTAGCGCTGGGGAACCGACTTGTAGGTCGGCGCTGGATCTCGCCACCCAGCCAGGGGAGTGAGATGACCGCCACCTCCCGCGATAACAAATGCACTATACTTACAGGATCAACGACCCTTAGCCGTTTACCGCATAGATCTCGCGCCGGGGGATATGCCGCCCCGAGAGACGGCTTGTCGGGGGCGAGCGCGCGGGCGTGGCACGGGCGTGGCACGGGCGTGGCACGGCGCTGACGAGGGGGGTGGGCGCGCACGCGGGGCGGCGCGCGGCCGCGAACTGTTGCAGACGAGGTGCGCACGGGCACGTACCGCCAGCTCTTCCACCCGGAGCAGCTCATCACGGGCAAGGAGGACGCCGCCAACAACTACGCCCGAGGCCACTACACCATCGGCAAGGAGATCGTCGACCTCGTGCTCGACCGCATCCGCAAGCTGGCCGACCAGTGCACGGGCCTGCAGGTGCGACTCGCTCACGCCACGCCGCAGCAGCAACAGCGGGTTTACAACCTTTAGAGAATTGTCCTTTTGTCCTCCTTTGTCACTTTGCCCCCTTTGCTCAGTTTGACTCGCTGTCCCCCTCGGTCCATTTTGTCCCCTTGTCGGTTACCATGGCCCCTTGGCAGTTCTCCATTGGGTCCCATGTCGTATTCGCCGTTAGAGTAGGTGCCCGTTTCGAAAGTGTGGGGTTCCATGTGGCCTGTGTGTGTTGCAGGGCTTCCTCATTTTCCACTCGTTCGGCGGCGGAACGGGCTCCGGGTTCACCTCGCTGCTCATGGAGCGCCTCTCCGTGGACTATGGCAAGAAGAGTAAGCTGGAGTTCGCCATCTATCCCGCGCCCCAGGTCTCCACCGCCGTGGTGGAGCCCTACAACTCCATTCTCACCACCCACACCACCCTCGAGCACTCCGACTGCGCCTTCATGGTTGACAACGAGGCCATCTATGACATCTGCCGGCGCAACCTGGACATCGAGCGACCCACCTACACCAACCTCAACCGGCTCATCGGGCAGATCGTGTCGTCCATCACGGCGTCGCTGCGCTTCGACGGCGCGCTCAACGTGGACCTCACGGAGTTCCAGACCAACCTCGTGCCCTATCCGCGCATCCACTTCCCTCTGGTCACTTACGCTCCTGTCATTTCTGCCGAGAAGGCCTACCATGAGCAGCTGTCCGTCGCCGAGATCACCAACGCGTGCTTCGAGCCGGCCAACCAGATGGTCAAGTGCGACCCGCGCCACGGCAAGTACATGGCCTGCTGCATGCTGTACCGCGGCGACGTCGTGCCCAAAGACGTCAACGCCGCCATCGCCACCATCAAGACCAAGCGCACCATCCAGTTCGTGGACTGGTGCCCCACCGGCTTCAAGGTGGGCATCAACTACCAGCCGCCCACCGTCGTGCCCGGCGGGGACCTGGCCAAGGTGCAGCGAGCCGTGTGCATGCTGTCCAACACCACCGCCATCGCGGAGGCGTGGGCGCGACTAGACCACAAGTTCGACCTCATGTACGCCAAGCGAGCCTTCGTGCACTGGTACGTCGGCGAGGGCATGGAGGAAGGCGAGTTCTCCGAAGCCCGGGAGGACCTGGCCGCCCTCGAGAAGGACTACGAGGAGGTCGGAATGGACTCCATCGAGGGCGAGGGCGATGAGGGTGCGGACGAGTACTAAGGGCTCGGCGCACGCGCGTTGTCCGGCGGAGAGCCACCCCACCCCCACCCTCCCCTCACATTCACCAACGCCAAAGGCAGTTGCACACCACGGCCATTGATAGCACTATTTACCAACCTCAAAGTCAGTTGCTAATGAGAAATATTGCCTGTGATACACTCCAAGGGCCTAAATGCATACGTACTAATGAGAAAGACAATTGCAAATGAAAAATCTGTGATACACACTAAGACCCTTTATATCACTTGTTGAGTAACTTTCATATGCACTCGTAGCGAAATTAGTTGCAAATGAAAACCATTTCCTGTGATACACGCCAAGGTCCTTTATATCACTCGCAGAATAACTTTCTTATTCACCTACGCGGAAGTCGTTGCAAATGAGAAGTATTGCCTGTGATACACACCAAGGTCCTTTACATCACTCGTTGAGTAACTTCCATCTGCATTCGTAGCGAAGTTAATTGCAAATGAGAAATATTACCTGTGATACACGCCAAGGTCCTTTATACCACTCGTAGAGTAACTTCAATACTCACCAACGCAAAAGTCTGTTGCAAATAAGGTTTGCCTAAGATACACACCAAGGCCCTTTATATAACTCACCATCCAGTTAGTTACTTTCATATACACTAACGCGAAAGGCAATTGCAAATGAGAAGGCTCACTCCAAAAACTCCCTTGTGCCTCCCACAATATAGCAGTAATTTCAAAAGTGGCAATAATTATATTATTCATAAATATTATGCTCCTAATATAGGGTGTCACACGGGGTCAGTTTAATAGCTAATACTAAATAATATTGCCTGTTGGATGTGTACCACCGTTTCGAGTTATCGTGACTGCTTTACTTTTTCAAACAATATCGCACATTTCCTTTAACAGAACCTATAATTTTCAATATTCATGTATCTAGCACGTTAGCTAGCGTTCCTCTCTTACTTTATTATTTTTTTCTTCAATAAACTTGAAACTATTGCTAAATTATATTTTTGTAGGATATTTATAAATATTTTTGTTACAAAAATGCTACATTCTTTAGCAATATTTATTTATATGTGAATTTTAGTTTTTAACATTACACAGCAAATTCTTAATACACAAATCGCTCCCACCTAACCTTTCCTCAGTCTCTCTGTTGGACAACATTTACATCTCTGCTGTAAGAGACTGTAGCAATCAAAAGTAATAATATACATTAAATAATTTTAAAAAACGAATATTGGTGTATCATTTCATCCATTTATATTGCCACCTACCCATACTATGAACTTGAATTTAATGCTCCAGCTCGAAGTGAAACATGCAATTTCCATCAAAATTAGAACAGAATTAACCTCCTGATTCCATTCTATAACTAAACACTCCGGCAAAGTTTGAAAGAGAAAGAGGACATTATCATATACATTAAATACATGCATGTCAAGAGTATTCACTTCAGGTAAAATTAATTTGTCTTGAAGATCGAATTACCTGAAAAGAACTTTGTAAGTAATTATAAAAAAATATGTCTACTGAAATAATACAGGCAAAGGAAATTACAAGTAAATATGAACAGCAATGTGACATTGGGGATGCGAGGCGAGTGAAGATAAATATTTGGATTTTTAAAAAATAAATATTACGTAATAAATTAGGGCATTGTCATGAAAGACAAGAAAATTCAAATGACATAGTTAACGCGGACAAAAAAAGAATCGGATTTGCATAGTAACAATCGGAACATTAGCACAATCACAATATTTTTTTTTAGATAAAACAACTTTTCATCAGAAGAGCTTACGAGTTGGTACGGAAAAGACGTGACGCTGGCAATGGCGTATAAATTTTTGGGAAAAATTTTTAAATCGGATATTTTCTCGAGTTGATAGAGTATAGACGCGATGTTACGAACGACGTAAAGTAGTTGTTTGGAAAAAGTTTTAAATTAAATTTCGGGTGATATAATTGTCGAAAAACGTTCATCCGTGAGTTGGATATTATTTCATAAAAAACTAGTATGTCAGGATTATAGAGTATTAACAAAAATGTGACATTTAATACACCGAATACATAGAAGATATAGTGTGAAATCTCAGGAAAGGTGGATGAACAACGCAACGGGCTGAGTGGTACCTGCAACGCCAACTTGCCGACTTCGTCACCTGGAAAGTTTACGAATAAGAACTAGAAAAGAAATTACAATAAAAAAATAGTTGTTGATAAGTTAGGTTTAAGAGTTGAGAAGAATTTAATTGTATAAAGAAAATTTATTTTGTTTAAGTTTGATGACCATCTTTAATAATTGATTAATAAGGAAATAGAAATGAAATTACGATTATAATATTTAATGAGAAGATAAAAAAAGAAACTGATACACAAATAAATCACTAGCAGCTGGTACTGCATGTCGCTGAATTATAAATCAGGAAACGTGTTCAGTATTAAAAAAGATTGACAGAACCAGAAAATCAATTTAATTCATAAATAGAAATATTTCACTAGCGAATTATCATACAAGCGGTATTTTCAGCCTATGGAAGAGTAAAGAAACGACCACTGAGATTGTAAATATGCAAACGCCCAATTACGTAAATAAAAACTTAGTTGGCCAACTAAATTTAATAACTTGGTAGAGTTAATAAAAGGAGGATTGTCAAGGGGAAATGTCACAGTCTGAACTTGTTGAAAGAATTGGGTGTATTTACAAAGATATTGATAAAAAAGCTAGTAGGAAATTACCCCGTAATTTACGAAGATACTAGCTGAATGTGGCATCGCCGACGTTTTAAACTTTTCCTGGGTTGGTTGACTTTTATTTTATTTTCCCTTCTTTCTTCGGTTCAGAGTCCTCTTTTTCAGTTTAAAAGTTTTGTCAGCGCTGCTAACTAACCACTTAAAATTTGCAATTTGTGATATTGACCACAATTTCTACCTTTGGCTTTCCTGAATTTAGGTAATGTAATTTTTTCATTAAATTGCTTTTGCAAGATTTATTTCGAAACGTTTTTTATTTATTTCAATTTGTCGTGGTACATATTTTTAAAATCAATTTTTGATACTGCACCCACATCCGCCGTATTCGGGAAACTCAATAGACCCTCCACTTATTTCCTTCATTTTCCGTGAAAGGAAATTCTTCGTTTTTGTATTATTGTATTCTTTCTCTTCTAAGACTTCTTGTGTCTTCTTCTGCGTTTTCATCTACGTCGTCTTCTACTTCTTCCTCTCTGTCTGTCTTTCTCTTCGAAGAATGCCTATAGGTATTGGAGTTCAATCACCACCACCTACATAGATCTATTTCGGTGGTGTTGATTTAATTCCCAACATACTCACCAAGATCGCAGCGCCAAAATACGTTTTTAAAATAAGTGTTTCGAAATTTCGAATCTCATGGCCGCATTTGAAAACAAATTGTCAGTTCCCCATCAGGAGACTGAGACGCATCGAATGGCACCTCGTGTCTCCATCGGTGCAAGCCAAGTGCTCCAACCGAGAATGACGGAACCGCACGACCACACAATCGCACATTCAATGAGTCACTCAAATAATATATAGGGATTGATAAAAACGATAGGACAATTGGCTCATCGAAATGATGTAGATAATTGCTCCGATCGGATTTCGGCCCTGTGCTTTGCTGACCCTAACTCATATTTTACATTTGCCGATAAATCACTAGCCCTCTGAAAATAATTGTCCATTTCTCGTTAATAAAACACTTTGAAACACATCACTGTTGCACTGCCGACGGTATCAGGTTTCTCTAAGAATATCTGGAAAACTGAAGCTCGTTACTAGGGCTCTTGTCAGCAAAAATCCTCTTCTCTTTTTGTTGAAAGTACAATTTAAAAAAAATTGAATTTGTCATCATAATTAATCTGGTACCATCGATAAGCCTGAACCTGAATATGTTCTCTTGTTCCCTGCGTTTTGTTGGATATTCTTTCTTTATATATATAT